AACCAATAAACAAATAATCAGTTGTAGATGTCGAGTCACTATTCTTTATGGAGACAATGAGTATACTGAACACACTCTATTTGGCTTTGTAGTGGGAATGATGTAGACAGCTCTACACTGCCCCAAGAGGGCAGTTATAAGAGATTCAGTTATATTCCCAGTGTTTGATAAACTGCCAGTGTTTCATTACATTTAAGAGACTCAAATATTACACATTTTATATTTGGCTTTGGTAAATTTAGGTTTGGTCTCAAGCTAACCTCAGTGGTTATGGATAAGCAAGATCTTTGCACTCGTTGACGCACCATGACGTACGCTACGTGGCCAAAAGTAGGTGGACATCCAAACATTACATCCCTATGTGATTGGGCATTTGTAAATTGCCATATCAGCCACTGCTTTTCTGGGAAGGCTTTCCACAACACTTTGGAACCTGGCTGCAGGGATTTGCTCATGTCCTACCCCAAGAGCAGTAGTGAGGTCAGGCAGTGATGTCAACTCCATAGGCAGCACTAGAGAATCTTTCTTGCTGGGGCCAGTTTTGGGCTCGATTATTTAATGGTGGAACTATGGAAATTGTATGGAATAAAGGAGGCCACGTGCATACTGTGATATTTGAAAGTCAATCTCAGGTGTCCTATGTCTTGCTACAAAACTTTAGAATTATAATAATACTCAACACCGCGGTAGGACTGGCAGATAGGACCCAGGTTCTGACAGAGGGCAGGCAGATGCAGAAATAAACAACAGTCAGCTTAAAAAATAAATAAATAAATAAATAAAGTTAAAACTGAGTGAACAATTACAGGCAGAGAAACGACACAGCTCACATCTTGACAAACAAACAAGTAATAGAGACGGGGAGTGCAGGAAATGCCTACAACAAGTTGCATCTTTAATGACTGAATGTTCCAGCTCTGAGTAAAGTTCCTTTCCTGGTTTGTGGTTACTTAGTCACAGGCTCAGTGCCGGGGTCCTTCTCTGGCTGTTTGTGGGCTAACAATCCACAACAGCATTACCTGCCTCCACTTGCTAGTTTTCAGTCGTTTCTGGTTGAGGAAGTCGTTTGATGAAAAAAACAATACGTTAATGTCACGTTACCTAGCATACCAAAACTTACTAAATGAACAGTTTACTTAAGTAAAAACTTCTTGCGTGTTGCCCCTCAGGTGATTCTAGTGCATAGAAAAATGTTATGGCAATAGGAGGCGCAATTGGACTTCAATCAGAAATCAGACAGGATGTGAAATGACTTAAACTTTTGGTGGTGTTATAGCTCCATCCACCCTAGCGCTTAGTCAATAATTTACTGGGCAGATTAAACTATACAAAATGTACACTTCTGGCCATACAATGTACGTTTAATTTATTTTGGAATATATTATGCATCCTGACTTCGAGATTGTCAGTCTGTTGACATTGCCCATGATGCGAATGTGAACAGTGACATGCTGTGCAAATGTACACACAATGTCAGATTAATCCAGCTTCCAACCAGAGGAAAAAAGTTAAAGGGCTGTAAAGTCACAGACATGATATGTGTGCTGCTGCGTGCACACATGTTCCGGTACAAATGACAATCTGTGTATTTCCCTTGGTGGGTGGAAAATGCGAACCACAGTGGAGTGATGTTCTTTAACAGTCTTTTTGATACAGCATTTTGTTGTGGGTACAATTAACCACAGTTTGATCAGTTGCAGGGCAGAGTTCAGCTGCAGCACAGATACGCTGAAGGTTGTCACCAGGCAGCTTTGAAGGTTTCAGCTTTCAGTTGGGTATTCCTGTAAATGTGCCATGGTTAGCAAAAATAATCCCAGTCCAGATGTGTTTATTACAAGCTAAAAATATTCAAAAATATTTCATTAATACAACAACACATACTGCACACATTACTGGCAGATACAAGTACCTATACTTAAGCAGATAACACAGCACAACACCTGCTCACTGAGAGCAAACATACAGCCTATGACGCACATTAGTGAAAAGCCATTCAACAATATTTACTAAGCACACAAACCTTGATTGGTAGGAAATACACTGTATAAACAAATAGCAAAGACAGATTAGAAAATTTAAAAAATGTTCTAAAAGTGGTGAGCTGACAGCTGGAACTGCACTACTTTATTGCTGCCATGCTTAATCAGGAGTGAGCTACGGTAGTCAAGAAAACTAACCAGAAAAGTGACCTCTTCATCAGCAGCTTCCTCTCCTCCCCCTTCTTTCCGTCTTCAGCCCCTCATACTTCTGGCAGCTGATACAGGTTTATACGCTACTTCAGAAGAGTCTCTTAGTCGCAGATTAGTCATCCTTCCAGTGATTTAACATATACACTTGTCCCACTCTCCTGATCTGCTCTACTCTTGCTTCTCCATGTTTTTTCTTTTGGCCACAACCTCCTCTCATTTCCTCCCCAAATGGGTTCCTTCAGCCGCAGCCTTCCTCTCCTGGGTTTTGACCTTCTGTTATGACTCCTTCACATCATCTAAACTCTGTCTCATTTCTGATCTCTTTTTCTCTATACAGAATTATCCACTATCCTTGATTATCTACATAATTGAAAAGGAAAGTTAACTTATCAGTTTTTACATTCGTAGATTCAAAATGTTTTTCTTTGTCTGGTTTTCAGGGAGCGTGTCTCACTATACCTCATCTGTGCCCTGGGGGTTCCTCAGGGTTCAGTTCTGGGTCCCCTCTTCATTCATTGGCTTTTGGCATTTTATGGGCTAAATCCATTAACCTCTTAAACATCACTGTCTCAATTGTGAGTCATTATTACAAAGGCTCTATTTTAAATTCTAGTCCAGAGCAGTAAGTGTGCAAACATAACAAATATCATGCAACATTACAGAGAAATGTCACATTTTATGCAATATATTTAGAAAAATCACATTTGGTCTTGAATGTTCGAAATAGGACTTTATTGGCTAAAAGTAGGGCTGCAACTAACAATTTCTTTTATCGATTGAGCTGATTATTTTCCCAATAAACTGATTAATCAGTCTGTCCATAAAATGTCGGAAAATTTATGAAAAATGCCCACCACACTTTCTCAGAGCCAAAGGTAAGGTCTTGAAACTGTCCAATTAACAAATGACGCACAAAAGCAGCAAATATTCAAATTTAAGTAGCTGTAGTTTTGTTTGAAAAATGATTTAAACCGTTGTTGGATTTTTGATGACTAATTTTCTGTCCATTAACTAATTGTTTCAGTTCTACTTTGGAGTTTTTGGAACAAGAAGAAAAGGAACATGTTTGTGCCATTGTGTGGAAAAACTGTTTTACCTGACTTTAAAGCCAGTCAAAGAAATAAGATGTTGAAGGAAAACACTGAAAGATCAATTTACTCTTTTAATCTTAGTCAAATAAACAAACTTAAATACAGAAATTACTAAAAAAAAAAAAAAAAATACCCATGTTTAAATATCACATAACTTCAAATTGAACATTTCAGTTTAGCCTCATCCTGCCACTCATAGACTCCAGACTGAGAGTTTACTGCAGTCTGGGATGCTTGACAAATATGGGCCCTAGCTGGATTAGGATCACAGCACTATCTCTCTCTCCACTAAGTCTCAAGGCCTCAGGGCAGAACGTGTGGGAAAGCAAGATTGACAGGAAGTTGTCGTGTAAAGGCAGAGGTGTGTGTGTGTGCTTTCTTGCGTGCATTTGGGTAATATGTGTGTTTGCCCAGCGGGCAGAACACAGGGCCAGGGCAGGAAACGAAGTGGTTGTGCCACCGGTTAGAGGAAACAGAACGGCAGATAAATTACCCAGAGTCAGGCTGGCAGGACTTCTGAGAACCAAAGCTGAGTGGACACTAAGGGAGGACAGGGTGTTGACACGGAGGAAGGTGTGCCTAACCCAACAGGAAAATAAACAATGCATATGATATTTTTTAATTAGCCCAGTATTTCAAACTCTGAAGTGTATATTTTACTCTGATTCTGGGAGATGTTACAGTGAATGCATGTGTTTAGAAAAATAGAACAGATACAAGTCTGGAACTCTACAGGAGGGATCAACACCATTCTTCCTGAAGATATTCCTTCATTCGGTGTTTTGTTGATGGGTGTGCAGTCCAATATCTCCCATCAGTTTGCTCTGATGACTGTGTGGGCAAAAGCAAGTGATTCAGATCATTTTTATTATGATAAAAGTATTTAGTTTCATATGACTCTCCAGTCATTTATCAGTGTTTTCCTTTCATCTGTCACCGATCTGTTAATTTTGTGACCGAGGATGGCCCTATGGGAGAGAGAGAGATGAGATCTAATTTTGGTAAAGGTTGCCATCTAGTGGTCATTTATTGCCTGTTCACTCTTATCCTGTTCATGGACTCTACCAAACTCTTCCCACAAATTAGCTTTACATTGGGGGAAAAAAAGTGTTTGTGGCCCATTTTTGGCTAATGGAGGAACAGTCTCTGTCTTTGCCAACAGAGGTTTAATAAAACTGAACATTTGATTGACTTATAAACCGTCAATGCCTGGCATACGGCCCTGAATCATATGTTTTATTTATCTAGAGGTCAAAGATCCCTCTAAATAATCAGGAGGGAAACAAATTGTGTGATCTGTGTGATTTAGGAGTGTCTCCCATTTTGTTTTGTACTGAATACGCCATAATTTTCACAATTCTGAAATACTCTGGCATAAAAGTGTAAAGGATGTTTAGCTTGGATATGTTTAAGTTTGCCAGCATGTTCTCAAAAGCCTGGGGAAGATCCCAGTGTTGCTGTTACTGTGTTGTTTAAAAATATATATGTGGCATCCTGAATCTGCGTTATATTTATCTCTAGTGGCTTGTAAAACCATGTGAGCTGAGCATAGTGTAGTTGTATGCATGACATAATTGTAAAAACATTTTATGCCAAATACTATTAGTTTCAAATTAAGTAAAATAACCTTCCTTAAATTAATCTGGAAATTTTCACACAACTTGTTTCATAAGAGCTGGAAAATACAAAACATAGACACACAATGGTGCAGTATCTTGAAAATTTATTAATGTTGACCAAAAAAAAAAGCGGTTGGCAAAAAGCTTTCTTTTTTCATGTCACTACAAAACAGTTAGTGAAGACACAACCAACAGAAAAGCTGCTTCTTTCTTTTCCCTTTCTTTGTACAAAACACTTCAGTCAAGGCCGAGAGAGAGAGAGAGGAAGTTATATGATACCTTAGAAGCTATGAAATAAAGACATGCAAAGGCTCTACTCAGGGTCTAACAAATCTCTGTCAGGTGTAAATCATGTTCAGTAAAAAAGTTCCTGAGTGAGAAATGAGGGAGCTTCAGATCCAAATCCATTTAATCTCACTCCAGTTCAACAGCATTACTGTTGTTCGTATTTTGGACAGTCTCAAAAACTGTTCAGTAAAAAGTTGACATCTGAGGGTGTATGGCTCTAAGTACAGTACTAAGGCAGAGGAGTGCGATGTGAAAACAGTTCAGAAGCCTCTAGAAGACATGCTCAAAGAAATGCATTTGAAACATATTCTCAAACACCATACAGTGTAGATCCGTACCTACAAGGAGACACTCAAATAGATCGCAAACAAACAGACACATTTGATAGGATGAGGAAGCCTGGTGAAATTAGCGAGAGACACAAAAATACTGTCTGATTATTAAGTGCAGGCACATGACACAAGACACAGCAGAGGTTTTATGAAAAACTCAACATTTTGCTTTCAGCCAACACATTTTGCAAGATCTTCAAGTAAGAAAAGACCAAAAGACTTTAGAACAAAATGAAAAAGTGGAGAACTAAAAATCTTGCCTCCTAAATATCCTCTGAGTTACAAAGACAAAAATATTGAGCCCATACTGCTGGGTATTTGTTACAACTGAAATGTTTTGTTTTTTGATTACAGTGAACAATTATAGCCGACCCTTTATATGTAAAATACTACCAGGAAAATAAACTAATTCAGATGTAACTAGATCAATTAGTGCGTTGTTACATTGGAGAAAAAATCTTCTCATTCACACAAAACACACCCACATACACAAAACAAGGCCATCAAAAATACCTCTATCAAACCTCTTCATTTAAGGACAGTAACTTAGAAAAACGATGAAGCAATACAAGTCAGTAAAATACATTTTTATAAATTTTTTGTGCTAATAGGAAAATAGCAATACAAACAGTATCATGCTTTTCTTCATGGAGTGCGGCCAAAAAACATTTCTATGTGGCTGGCGATGACCAAAGTCACATGCATTGTTATCAGGGCACAAATAATTTAGATGGTATCAGGAAATTGTGGACAACCATGAAACATTTAGGCAAGTAAAATAAAACTAACACTGTTGTATCATAAAATAGATACTAGTAACAGCAGCGCCAACTGAGTCTTTTCTTTCTCTAAGCGAACATTGTAACAAACAAACCACAAACTCAGACTGATTAGTACGCACGTACATGTATGTTTATGTCTGAGTAAAAAATACATATGTTTGCATCATCACGCTTGTGCAACTGCATGTGATTTAAGGTTACTGCACATTTTCAATGTAGTGTTTACATATATGTTTGGCTGGTACACAGAATACAACCACCTGACTCCTCCATTCATCTGAGTGGTCAGGTGGCTGATGGGACAGTATCTGTATGCTGGGCTTGGGTTTCCCAAAATCATCTTCCATCATAAGACTGATGACCCTTAGATCTCAATGGGTTGAAATGACAAAAGCAAAGGCAATTACCATATGATTGTAAACCTATTCCTCATTTACAAATTCTCAAGGCTGATCCAGAGGCACCATGTGTTGGCCTTGCTTGTGATCGGCACAAGCAACACGTGAACTCGGACGGTAGGACATGTGGTGACAGATGCAGCTGACAGCAGCGGTTCACTTTAACTTCACTTGCAACATGCTTTTGGGAAACCAGGCCCTGTGTGTCTCAGCACGTCTCCTTGGCTTGGCTTGGCATCTTGCACATCATCAGGATCTGCTTCAAGGCTTTCTGGACGTCCTCGTCCATCTGACCCTGAAGACACACAGCACAAGATCAGCTAACTAACTAAAACTAAAATGCACACATCCACTTATTTCAGTTTACAATAAGTGAAACTCAATCTGATGTGATTTAAAGGGCCAGATCACCCAAAAATAAATGAGAAAAAAATGTTTTTCATAATGTGCCATTCCTTTAAAATTTAAGTTGAAAAAGTAAGCTTTAGGAAAACTAATGGATGAATTTACCTGGACAGCATAGAGGAGGTGCATCCTATAGACTGACACTATCTCATTGTGCTGCTTCTTTGACTCCTACAAAGAAAATGAGGTAAATACATTTTTATACTGACGGTAGCATTCAGGAGTCACATTTAATCATTAAAAGTGCAGTCTCAAAATGAGAATTGTTGTTTAAAATAGGTTGAAGAAAGAAAGCTTACAGCCAGCTGGTACTGCAGCTGTTTGATTTGTTGCTGCATGGTCTCCAGCTGCTGGTTTTGCTGCTGTCTCTTGGAGGGGGAACCAGAGGTGTAAGAGAGCTGTGACAGACTGTTTAAGGCATCCTTTAACTTCCCCACCTCCCGTGACAGGTCATCTATCTGAGAGGGAAGACCATAAAACGTGGTTAATGGAGTTTAAATGGACTTATTTCTTTGTAAAATGGTATCATAACAGAAAATAACATGATTAGACTGAATGCAATTATACCTCAAGTTTAGGTTGTACAGTAAGTGCACTGTCAAACAGACACCACTGAAGTGTCAAGTACTAGAATAGTGATGGTACTTCTGCAGTGGCTACCAGATTACTACTGACCCTCTTGTTCTTTTCTCTCTCAGATGCAACGTGGTTCTCCACCAGCTGTTTGAGCTGACACACAGCATCCTGGGACTCAGCCAGCCTGGAGGACAGCGTCTGGTTCTCCTTTTCCCTCGACATCACCAGCTCCTGCAGGGCTTCCCGCTCTGCGCGATTCTCCCGTGCCTGACGGGCGGACGGATGGATGGATAAGAAGGATGTTTGGGTTAAGTTTTAGGAAATACATGGATTTAGTCATATGAAGAAAAATTATTAATTTTGAAAAGAATTTTCCTCTTTGGATTTCCCCCTAGGCTCCTCTTTCTTCTCACCTTCTGCCATGCATCAGCAGCCTCCAGAGCCATCTCATCCTGCTTCCTGAGAGCCCCCTGGAGGAGCTGCGTCAGGTGGTTCACCTCGCCCTCCAGTTGTTCTCGCATGGTCTCATGCTCCAGACGGGAGACTGAATCATCTGGGGTGACATCTTTTTCTACCGTCAGTCTTTTGATGAAATTAGCACAAGAACCACATGGTGACACATGAACAATTTGTATTAGTTTTTTTTTTTTAATTATCAAGTCTGGAAAAGTATTTTGACTTCTGACCACAAAGTTCTTATGCACAGTCAATTTGATCAAATCTATCACCACACACTGGATTGTGAACATACAATACATCTTTAGAAACATCTGTAAACATTTGCTTAACAAGCTTCTTTACTCAAATAAAGAGAGCATAACAGCAGTGTATAAATACTCAAGTAGAAATCCTGATAATCAAAATTTGATCTAAAAGGAAAAGTGCTCAGTATCAAGTAAAATGGGCCATGTGAAGGTTATATTACTATATATTACATTTTTGAGTTGTTTTTACTAATTAATGTGTAACATTTTATTGTTGTAGCTGGTCAAGGTGGAACTAATCTTTGTCACTTTGGATAATCTATAACAATCTTATTGTATGTTTAAGTTTTTTTTTTACATTTTTTAAGTACAACTTGAATCTGCTACTAACAATGACTGTCAATTAAATGTAATAGAGTAAAAATGTAGTGAAACTATAAAGTAGCTTAAAATGGAAATATCCAAGTAAAGTACAAGTACATTGAAATTGTACTTAAAGTACTTGAGTAAATGTACTTAGTTACATTCATCAGCTGCATTTTGCTATATACACTATACCATTTCATGAGCCCAGCATCAGCTGTAGGCTTTAGTAAAAGCAGAGAAAGCAGCATCCGTCTACCTCATGTGAAACCTCATAATTTCTCGCCTCACCTGTTCTGAAGAGACTCCACCTGCAAGGTCTTCTGGTGTAGCTGTTCTTTCAGGGCTTCTGACTGGCTCTCCAACTCTTTGATGGCATTTCCCAGAGAAGACATGACCTGTGTGTGGTCAGCGAGGGCCACAGAGCTCTGTGCCTGAGCTTCAGCCTCCTGTCTCAGCACTGAAATCTCCTGCTGAGCAGCCGAGCACTTCTTCTCTGTGTCAGCTAGCAAAGTCTGCAGCTCCGCCACTCTGCTGTTGAGCACCTGGACTTGCTGCTGCTGATGTTCGGGAGAGGGAGATGACGGTGCACTGCTCTCAGCTTGGGCCTCAGCCAGCTGTTTCTGAGCAGCACCTAGCTGACTCTTGGTGTCACTGTAGGAGTGTGACAGTTCCAGCAAGCGGCGCTGCAGCCCAGCAATGACCTCGTTCAGCTCAGCCTTCATTTCTTCAAAGTCTTTGGCTGCAGCTTCAACGGGCACTGTGCCCCTCAGAGCCTCCTGAGCAACAGGTAGGGATAAGTTAAAATATAAATTAATGAAATAAAAAGAAAGATGAAAAATGACTGTACAAAAGTCACTGTGATGTTATTAGACTAAGAGGGAAAGATTGGACAAAATGTTGAATGAATAGGTAAAAAGAAAAAACAATGTTGAAGCTATTTCACTTGTGCTTTTCTGTACATTCAATCACACAGAAAACAGAGAAGAAGAGGAGGCCCATATCTACCTGGAGCATCCTAATCTCCTCCTTTGCCTCCTTGTACAGCTCCTCGATCTGTGCAGTCCTCTGATCTCTCTCCTTTACACTCTGTCTTTCCTCCTCCGTCCTCCTCAGTGCCTCCTCCAGCTGTCTGATTTGTTGAGCTGCTTTCTCTTGCTCAGATCCTGATAGGATGAGCTGGGCCTTCAGCTGTTTCACTTCATGTTCAAGTGTGGATGACACTCGTCTCTGAACCTCCTCTTTCTCCACCTCACCTTCTTTTCTTCCCATCTGTGCTCTCAGCTCCTCCACCTCCTCCACAGCTTGGTGGTATCGCTCCTGAGTGTCTGTCAGCTTCGCCTGCAGCTCCGCTAAACTCTCCATCAACTCTTCCTCTCTTCCCTTCTCCCTCACTGCTTCATCCTCCTCTCTTTCTCTGCCTCTATCAGGTTTAAGCTGAGCCTGAAGTGAGCGGTTCTCCTTCCTGGTTTCAAGCAGTTTCACCTGAACGCTCTCTAGTGCCTGTCTCAACAGTCTGATCTCCTCTTTGCTCCCTCCTTTCCCTCCCTCACTCTCGTCTTCCTCCAGTCTGACAGAAAAACCTACTGAACTGTCTTCTCTTTCTGCTTGGGTGGTGGAGGGGACTGGTGGCAGTGGATCAAACTCATCCTTGGTGGAGTGGAAGGAGGAGTTGGAGGCCATGCTATTAGGACGACTGGTCTCCTTCAGGTCCTCGTTTCCTTGGAGGGATGGATGTTTCTGTGAGGTGAGGGTGCAGGTTAGAAGAGTTAAGACTGAAGTTAAGGGACAGAAAAATTATTTTAAAAAAGTAATTTGCTAAGATTCTGATTAAATATAAAATTAAACTGGTTTTCTAACAGAACATAAAGGTAGTTCACTGCTTGTATGACAGGAATAGTATAGGTGGGGATAAACCCTCAATAGATGATTTGTTTGACGTTATTTATAATGGGTTAGAGATAGTTTGTGAAAAGAACAGGAAAGTTGCGTCACATATTACACCTTTACATTTGTCATTTGTTAATGTGAATTTTTTAATTTAACTTGACTATCATCATAGTACACCGAAGCTTCTGTGTTCTCTTACCTTTTTCTTTTCATTACAGATTTTTAGAGATTTTTACAGATACAGTTAATTGATCAACAGCAACTATTTTTATAATTAATAAATTTTTTTTTTGTCATTTTTCAAGAAAGAACCTCGTATGTTTGTCATATATGATTGTACACTTAATGTCTTTTGCACTGTTGTAGAGTAAAATAAGTTATCTGAATAGATCAATAAGGTTATGAGGAATTTTAAAGGACATTTTCTCATAATTTTCTGACATTTTATTGACAAAACCATCAATTGAGAAAATAACTATTTTCAGTTTCTTTGATTATCAAATTAAATGACAATAAAAGCAATCATTTGTTCTCGACCTACATATTTTAATGTTAAAATAATAGAAAATACATTACAAACGTTAAAGGACAGGTCCACATTTTTTCAGGTCAACCTTAAAGCAATGGTCATCTGCCTATATATTTGCTGTAATTGTTCTCTTACCCTGGGATAGTATTAGCATAGGATCTCAAAGTCAGTATGGGCAGGAGGGATGACAACAGTGTCCAATAATATATAGCATATTCACTGTACATATGTGCCTTTGAGTACTGTTTGAAAACATAAGAAAATGTGTACAAAAGTCTTGATGTTGTAAAAGCTATAGTTTTTAGCCTCTCACATGAAGAATGTAGCTGTTAATTTTTTTGTTTATATAGTACACGGTGTATTACCTGTCCCTTACCTTGAGTATGTTCATTCATTTGTTTATGGTTTCACTAAAAAATTAATGAAGGGGTTACATACCCTAAATTTGCTTGCAAGCTGCTGGTTCTCCAAAGTAAGAGCAGTAATCTTGGCTTGCAGAGCAGAAACCAGAGCTGCCGATGCCGTACCACTGTGCTCGACCTGTCAACACATACAATACACATATATTACATGCAGAGGCGATGGAGAGGCATCAAAGCAACGTTAAAGACCACTAGCTACCTACTGAAAAACAAAACGAGTTGCGACACGTCGAAAGCTTAGGTTAGACCTCCTTCAAGAATGCAAGGGTGAAAAAGTTCAGCCGTTGTCTGCTGTCAGAGTATAGTATTAAACTTAGAGAAGCAGCAGTTGATTTAAGACTTTTAGTAAACCAGAGAAAAGTGAATTAAAAGTCCAAATGTGAAATGTCTTTATCCAACTCAAACGTTTTAAATACTTTTCATCCAGGTGGGGAAAAAACTTTTTAGTTGTATTGGGTAGATGAAATATAGTCATTGTATGTGCTGTACTCCTGTGTTTTAATGATCTACTTTTCAAACTAAAAGTCTGATGTCATTTACTTCCAAGTCTGCTGTTCTTGTCATCACATCTGTTTTAAAATCTGCTCATATGTAATGTAAGCATGTCACTATAGCATGTCTTAGTCATTAATCACCTTTGTATCCAGCTCAGGACCAGCCACCGTCTGCTCCACTGTCTGCTTCAGGTCTTCGATTGTTTCCAGCAACATGTTTCTCTCCTCATGGAGCTTCTCCACCTCCTCTCTGAGCACAGTTCCTCTAACCTCATCCTCCTTTGAAATGAGAAAGGGGAGGGGAGAGGGGTGAGGGGAGGCAGGAAAGAGGAAGGGGAGGGGAGAAGAGCACGAAATGGACAAGGAGAAGGAAGAGAAAGTTAAGGCAAGAGGAGGAGAAAGAAGATATGTATATATACCTACTTATAAATGTGCCATACTTAATTGTGTATTTATACATTTCCATTGCTCTTGTGGACCTTTACATATACAAGTTAAAGTTACCCCATAATCTGCTATTTTTCTCTATGGCTCTTGAGAAACTCCTTATTCCTACTGTGCTACCACTGATATAGAGTTGAAGGCATTTACTCTAAGTTTGGGGTTTATTGACTTTCTTTTTTTTAATATATAAATAACTATATTTATTAAACTTGTTTATTTTCTTTTGATAGGTTTACACATCTGGATGGTAATTGCAGTTTATGGAATAAAATCCCTGCTGTATATCTGCCATTTTTACATACTCCTGCTTCTTATTTTCCATGTTGACTGCTGTTTTTGTTACCTTGTAGTTGAACCTCTTGGGAGTGTCACTTTTGTCAGATGCAGGGGTCCCAGTGGAGGTAATGAGTGAAGGAGAGGAGGGTCCAGAGCTCTGAAGCAGGATGAAGTTGATCAGCTTTAGTTTGATTAGTTTTCCTTATAAACGTCTTGTCACATTCTGGTTGGTAAAAATTAAAAAAACTCCATATTTGTTCTTGGGCAGCTTTATAAACAGTGTGTGGACAGAGTTAATAACCAATGAGTGGTAAACCAATTGGTACAGAAACATACAGAGGAGCAAAAAAAAAAAACAAACAAATAAATGTTTCGTATCTTGTTACAACAATTAGGTGACAAAGTGAGTCATTAATGCTCCAGCTCTCTGTATTAACTACATTTTAATTCATAATCTATGAAAAACAAAAGACTGATTAGTATAAAAATTAAATGAACATGCTACATGAATGAAATACTCTGATATACGTTGGCAAACCATAAATTGGTTTCTGGTGAGAGAAGACTGACTGAGGGAACAATAATCTTACAGGTAATATGCAAACAGACAAACACAAGTCAGTCTACTCTTTTTATGAATATACTGCAAACATGCATTAATATAAAGAGTGGCATACTGATACAAGCAGACAGATACACAGAGAGACCTGCGTTTACCTGCAGTGGGCTAATAGGAGGTGGAGGTGCTTTTCGTTTTTTGGGAGTTGTGATCCGTTCATCACTTAGCTTAGCTACTTGATCATGCTGAAGAGCCAGCAAAGGAGACAGAGAAGAGAGGCAACGAAGAGAGAGAAAAAGAAAGGTGGGATTCAGTGCTGGTTAGTAAAAGGATTGGCAATCAATGACTGCTATAGTTAAGACTCCAGTTTTGTTTTCCCAAAAATGGCAACTAAAAGATCTTTTACAAGCTGAGAAATTTAATATTGATACATTACAGAAGCTAGTGCTAAACTACTGTCTATGTGGTGTTGCTGCACAACAGAAATTAAAGACAAAGGTTGGCGTTTGTTTCTCATTTTTAGCTCTTTCCCATTAATCACATTGTAGTATTTTAACACATTTAGACTCCTAAATTCTTACTGACAATTGATTAGTTTTGGATTGAAAATTTCTTACCAGAGGACTTCTAGGAGACTTTGTATCTGTCAAAGAAGATAGGAAGAACATGCAAAAAAAGAGAAAATCAAAAAGAAACTTTAGCCTTCTCTTTAAACTGTTTAAAATTTTCTACAATAGAAAAACACAGTACACAGTATATGTAAAAAATAAATAAATAAAAAAAATAGTCACAATAACATGTAAACTCCTCCAGATGGCAGTGCTGGCTGCGTTGCAACCAGAGCAGTATGAATCTCTAATACAAAGAGGCAATATACAGGTATGTGTGTATATGTATTTGTATCATGATGTGGGGGCAAAGATCTGTTCAAACAGATCTTTATTTTATTTGTTATTTTATTATGGTTACACTGTCATTGAGTGACACTCACCTGAAATCTGCTGTCTGTTCAGAGCAGTTGTGAGGACAGTTCTGACCTCTGAGTTGCCTGACACCTTAGCGAAGTGTCCAACATCATGGCCTTGTGAATCTACGGCTGACAGATCTGCTCCTCGGTGAACCAAGACGTCAACAACAGAGGCCGCGTTGGACTCGCTGGCCAGCATCAAGGCTGTCCTACAACACAAAAGTACAAATATTGATTACATCTACCCGACACCCAGTGTCTTTACTCAGTCATCACTACAATTATTTGTCATTCCTGAATTTTTATGTGTCTACGCAGGTGTCTCCACTGTGTCTGTACCTGCCACTGCTGTCAGAAGCATTGATTTCAGCACCGCAGTCCAGTAAAGTGCAGCATACTTCAGCATGAGCGTGTTTGGCTGACAACAGCAAGGAGGTGAGTCCATCCTTTGAGACAAACAGAGAGACAGACATCATAAACATTAGATACGACTGAGATCACCCTATGGAGGGGCCACACACCCACAGATTTATATGGACACACACAGACGCTCACACATAACTTATCTTGTGTGACATCAGCATGTGAGCCTCGATGGAGTTTGGTTAAGTGTCTGAGTGGTGAGAGAAGTCTCAGATCCATGTGAAAAAGGAGTGAATGTCTCCTACTGTCAATGAATTTCAAACTTCCAAACTTGTACCAATTTTTGCAGAGTGGCATATGTTTTAGGATGAGAGAAATATGAGCTAGGGAAAATCCCCCAAATTATATATTTACAGTTTAAAATGAATGGGTACAGAAGAGTTTATTGCCCCGAGTTGTGCAACTGGGGCAGTATTTCTATGTAGCTACGTAGACAACCCACATTTCTCACCAGGATTGACAGATCCAACCATGACCCTTAACCTAACCTGAACCTTCTATTACCTAAGTTCAACCTTAACATTGGATTGGCTGGGATTGTTGAGGGTGGTGTACGGCCTGGGAGGAGCTGCTGCCTCAAGGTTCAGTTCAGGGCAGGAACGTTGACGTTAGCCAAGATGAAGTTAGGAAATAATATGTATCTCAGTAAATTGTGACTCAACACTGAGCTACAAATGCATAGTTTTTTTCAACACAGAAAGTCGACACAACTCAATAAAACAACACATAAGGACTCCAGTATTAAACTGTATGAACAGACATTTCCACAGGTCATTTATATTGTTAACAGTGAAACAAGAAGTAAAAAAAAATCTTAAGTTCTGTCCAACTGGAAAAAGCAAAAGAATGTAAAGTGTGTCAGCATAGTTTTGTGTTTTCTATTACAAGGCTGCTGCTTCCATACACCACAGAGAAGAAAACTATGTTGTGGGTTCCTCTGAGCTCTGCTAAAGACTTTAACAGCCCTGTGTCTGCTCTGCTCAGTCTGTGTTTCTACTGAGCTGTTTCGAAATGACAGAAACCATTTTTCTTCTTAGGGTAATAGATTGAGTGTCTGTGTGGATGTGTGTGGCAACACAGGTGTATTAACACTTTATTGTTTACACATGTTACTTGAGTTATGTTTACAGATAGCTGCTATCCTGCCAATTGTTTAAAGACAGATTACCTAACAGCCTAAAGCCTGAGAAGAGCTGAAATGGGACAAGTAAGCATCAACCACCATGACAAAGTTTGATTGACTGAGATTCAAGTCAGTCAAGGCAAACACACACGAACACACCTCTGCTAGCTATCATTATGCACCGTATTTTAGTTAATCGTAAGTTTTGTATTTAAAATATTCATATGAATAGTAGCTAGTAACTGGAGATGCCAAATAAATGTAGTGGAGTAAAAAGTACAAAATTTCCCTCAATGTAATTGAGCACAAGCGTAGTGTGGCATGAAAAGGAAATTTACTCATAGTCGAGTAAATGTACTTAGCTTCATACCACCACTGTACCGTTTGTAGTCCTCCAAGAGTTTTCAACCGACTCAAACAAAGGCTGCTCAAGAATTAGCAGGCCACGTCTCTGAATTGTATCAAGGCTGGGCTTCTTTTAAGTATCTGAGAAATATAATTCTTTTCAACAGAAAACACAAGGAAGCTTTTATACTACATAGTGCCAACGTCTCTGCTGAGACTTTAAGTTTACATTTACTTGATTTTGTATAAACATTCTTTGTCCGACATATGTAAGACCCGGCAAATGTTCCTCGTTTTCTTTCAATATTTCTCTGTGTGTATACTGAAGTCAAATATAGATCAGGTATAGATATACTGAATGCTACAGCCATGATGTATGCCTGAGGCTAACAAGCTGGCATGTTCTACTCAGCACAGAGACTGCAATATGTTCCAGACAACTTTGAGGTTTTTCAGTCTACATGTCCACTAAGAGCAGACACAGCAGCTCAAATCAAACACACACGTGCACACACACACACATTTGCAGATGATTATGGCTGGAAAAGTGAATGCAGTTCGATGAAAGTGATATCACACGTTGTCTTTATGTCAACAGAACAGTGCTGAACAGTGCTAACGCTCCCTCTTCCAGTTACAACAATATGGTTTGTCTATAGAACACATCATCAAAATTTTGTTGACACATTTTGAGTAAAATCCGTCATTTGCCCATGCATCTTACAGGTTCTTAAAAGCCCTGAGACAGAACATTTTTGTTTAACCATTGTTGGATTGATTAGGAAGAAATTTTTGAAGGGAAAAAAATACAAACATATCTCATGGGGCTTGCTCCAATTGTAGCAGGATTTCAGAAACCCTGTACTTTAGCCTTAAAATCCTTGCAGTCAGTGGTTAAGTGGTAGCATGAACCAGTCTCAAAAGCCACAACATATAACTTGTCACAGGTTTAAACAAACAACAAGGCTGCAATGCATTTTAATAAAAAACAACAAAACATCTTTAAATGCAGGCTGAGAGTCCACTCTGAGTCAGTTTGTGTGTGAGTCTGTTTATCTCCAAGGGCCCAGCTGTGGCGTGATAATAAAAAGGGAAATAAATGGGCAACACATTCTTCTTCTCTATTTCTTTTCTCTCACTTGCTCTTTTTTTCTTTTAGGCACACACACACACGCACACAAGCACACAAGCACACAAAATATCATGCTAACACACCCCAGTTGGGTAAAAACCACAGGCATGGAGCATCACTGCAATGGAGACCACATGTCTGCGGCTCGAGAACAGAGTTCCCACAGTACACTGACCCTCTGCCTCACACACATACATGCACATACACACACACACTCAAAAATATTAATCAATTTTAAAACAGAAGGACAACGAGAGGAAATGTCAGTGACTGAGGATCCTTGATATTGTAGACTTCCAGCTGTAAGAGACAGCTGCAGTTAACTGGTTTTAAAACAACAATGCTTTACTTCTACTTTCTTAATAAACTTAAAAAATGTAATTTAGGAAACAAGAGATTTGACAGCAGATAACTCCTTAAGAAAATCCAGAGCATACAAAGAGTGATTTACCTTCCTTGAACAAATTCCTCTGTACATAACACAGTAGAAAGTAATATGAATGAGACTGAATGGAGCATTTCTGTGGTCTTTATTCTGTTTCTGAGCCTGCTACTATCCTGCCAGGAAAAATAAGTCTGGGGAAGAATGAGTGGAAGTAATGAAAGTACATACTGAATCTTTCAGGTTGATGGGACTTTTGAGTTCACACAGCAGTTGGACGGTCTGGATGTTCCCGCTGGCAGCTGAGGATAAAACAAAACAACAGTCAGACAATGAACGAAAGCACACAGGTGTCCAGAGATCGCAGCTTGGTCCAGTTTGGTCCAGGATTGAATTTAGCAAGAATTTTCTCTCCTTTGTCTCCATCTCTTATTTACAAAAGACCAAATTAATTAAAAGAGAGTCTAACACAGCTGGACTGTCTAATTTAATTTTCATTAAAAAGCACAGACACGGTTATGGTGACTGAGGTAACACACCACACTAGTAGCCCTTTGCTTCTATAATAAGATAATACTTCTTTAAAAGTGCTAAAATAAAAAATGATTCACCTAAACAGCCCTGTCAACTAACAACAGCACTGTAACACAGTGAGAGGAAGACTCATGAAAAAAAAAACAAAAAAACAATTGAATCCAACGAGGCCAAAATCACATTTAATCACTTAATTCCAAATATGGTCGATGATTTCATCCAAATAAAATTAGAGCTTAAACTTAATCTCACAAGATATTTTCCCACATAGTTCTCTAAGCAGACTAACCTTCAATAAAAGCACCTTTGTTTAGTTAACTCCCAGGATATTGACACACTTACCAGCGTGATGCAGGGCAGTCTTTCCTGTGCTGTCTACAGCATCGATAGGACATTTACTCTGAGGGCAAAAGCACAATTTGTATTAGTGGCACGCAGTACATTTCTGTGTGTGTTTGTGATGAACCTTTGTGACTACCTTTAGTCTCCACTCTTCATCAAAGTGTTGCATCTACTATTCATTTAGTCATTTCCCTGAATGACTTCCGGAGAATGGAAGTCCTAACTGAGTCCCGTGTCTACAAATACTTCCCAATATTTAAAATGTCTTTAATTCTGGTGTAGAGTATCTGTAATAATGTTAGCTAAAGATATTGTCTGTCTGCTGATTGTTCCATTTTTGATTTCTTTGTTTTCAGTGTGTGTAGAGAAAGGAGTTTATTTTCTGAGAAACTTACTCCAAAATCCATTTAGCAACTGAGGTTTATCTAGGTAAAATTTTGTCATATGAGACAACACTGTAAATGCACAAAATTGCTAACATTTGCAGCAAACATTGTATAACTGCATATATGTGGTTTTTAGTTATTTTCTCCCAATAGCTAGCAGTGATGACCTGCTAGAAATTTTAGAAATAACAATATTTGTTGCTAGTGAAGAACCAGCTAATAGTTTGCAACTAACAACTTTTTGGCAACAAAATGTAAAATTATTTGGCACAACATTATTTCTTTTACACACAAAGCTTTGTTATAAATTCTGCTGTTTGTACCAGCAGACTTGCACGAATATTCGACCAGACAGTTGTGTCTTGCTGAGATACTGCCGACTGTCATGAGAGAGTTAGGTCAGCAGATCAGAGCTCTGTGTGTGTGTGTGGATCAGCAGATCTTAACAGGAGGGCACACACATGCAGACACCCACATACATGGACACATAATCAGCAGACTGAAGTAATGAAGCAGTTAAAATGTCTGACTAGCTTCACAATTCCGCTAAGATGTTTGAAACCAGACTGTAGATTTCATACGGTTCATGCTCCTGCTTTCACACATTCCTCATTTGCTGCACGAAGTAATGCGTCCAAGAAGTCCTGCTGAGTGACTAGATGTTCTGCCATTAAAACATTCTTTGTTTCATATTTCTTGCATTTTTGTTGTATACCACACCTTCAAAGTATTTCACTAAACCTGAAAGACTGTACAACCAGTATATTAAATCAATTACTGTGGGTATTTTATCCCCATTTCAACACTGTGGCACCATATTGTGTGTTACTGGCAGTGATTATAAATGCATGACTTGGCAGATTGTAGCAAGTTTTATTGGTCACCCCAGTGAATTAAGTATGGCTGGTAATATTAAAAAACTGTTTTAGACTCACATATCACAATTTGTTAGCCTCCTTTACTTTATCCACTTTACCTGAATGAGCTTTTTGCAGCACTCGATGTGATTGTTTTTGGCAGCCAGGTGTAACGGACTAAAGCCTGAACATAAAGCAAAAAAGATGTTAGTTAAGATCTTCATGAGGCCACAGATTGTAGTGATAAGAAGAAGAAATCTTCTTAGAAGGTTAAGGGGGGGTACTAGAGTGAATGAATACTAACTTCGACCTAAAATGTTACAAGACTTTTATCAATTCCTAAAACCAAATAAAAAAACACAAGTGACATGAAAAACATTTTAGTGTTTTATCCATCAATACAGAAAAACGGCAGCACTGTCTTTACTAACAGTAGAGTTACATACCCGCAGCATCAGTGACTGACAGGTCTGCTCCGTGGGCCAGGATGACAGAGAGGCAGTCTGTCTGACCACGTGCAGCTGCTACATGAAGACTATAGCAATCAAAGCAATCACAAAATAACAACAGATTAGAAATGCAGTATATCAGTTGTCAGTGGTTATAAAATCACAAGAGAGATGCCGTGGTGACTTCCTGCTGCATTAGTGGGTATAAATAAAAAAGTTCAACCAATAAAGTCATCAAAAACTTAAGCATGAAATGAAGCTGTTTCTGTCCATGACTAATTGCACTGTAGATTATAATAACGATTGATCTTTTACTGTCTAACTGAAATACATTACATCAAAGGATTAGTTCGATATTTTGGGAATTACACTTATTTGATCTCATGCCAAGGTTAGATGAGAAGACTGACACATTTGTCTGTGCATAAAAAATGAAGCTACAGCCTTTACTGTATATCATCATACTGTTATATCTCCTTTGTTTAACGTGTACAAAAATCAAACAGCAAATAAGTATTTAATTTGTGGAGATTACAGTATGTGGACTATTTCTTGGGCGCAGTGACTTCCTAGAGTCTCCGCTTATTTTTTTCACTTGAGTGAAGCAAATGTAATATAATATGTTAATTGAATAGGTGCTGCAGCTGCTGTGTGTAGCTTTATATTTAGTGTACAGACATGAGTGTACTATCAATCATCTCATCTCACTCTCTGCAAGACAGCTAATAAGTGTATTTCCCAAACTATCAAACTATTTCTTTAAGAAAGTGATGATAACACGTGGGTATTGTTCAACATCAGCCCTGACCAAATAAGTACACTTTTATGGTGCACCTACAGTTTCAGGATTTTAACTTGTCCATTGATCACTGTTATTTTGAGTGCCCTCAGTAGAAGAGGTATAGCACTGCTTGGTGTGCAGGAATGTCATAAGTCGATATCACCCTTTATGCAAAAATACCCTCTGAATTGTACGTGTCTCTTTGTTCATATGTGAGCAGTGGGCAATCAATACAACCCCTTTTCCAGCTCAGCGAGCAGAATGGAAAAAAAAAACACTACACTGCCCAGCTTTCCCTTGGTGTGTGCGTAGGATACACACACGCACACAGCTATGCCCACATGCCTTTCAATCAGGTTTTATCACCATAGAGATACTGTAGACTCCTCCTTTGTGCGTCCTGAAAAGATTGCAGCATTGCGATCCCAAACCACCACATTCATCATGATTTACAAAGGCTGTGGGTTTGTATCTGTATGTGTGGTTCTGTGTTCTAGTCACACACAGAGAAAAGGTCAAGGATGTGAACTACTGGTGGAAAGAGAAAGGCTGTGTTTGTCTCAGCACGTGAAAATCTGCACATTTATTTCTCTAAGCATTTGTTCCTGTGTTTTGATCTTCCTGGCTCTGCGTGAGCTGCTCAACACATTGAGGTCAGTCGGTGTTATGTTTCAGTAAAAGAGAGAGGTCAAATATTAACACTGAGCCTCTGTTATCAACAATCTAAACCGGTGAGGCAACGAGCTGCACTGCCTCTGCACAAATGAACTGGTTCTCAAAACACTGAATGTCAGGGAGGCAGAATGAATAGTTGCAAAATGCCATACTTTCAGGAACTAAGAAAAACAGCTGTATTTTTAGATCGGCCATTCATTTTTAACATTGTGGCAGCGTGTGAAAGTAGCCTCATAAGCCCAAGACTTGAGAATCTGAGCATATGCTGAAAACGTATGTGCAATGCTTAAATGCAAAGGAAAACACAAAAATCTCCAAGACTGAATGGTGTTTCCCTGAAAGCTAATATTCGCACTTCTATTTAACTACAGTCACACAGTTTTTTGTCAGACCTTTATTGTTAGAGAGTGAGCAAAGCCTCAGATAGTTCCTAAATAACTGCACTTTTATCACTAAATCAGGCAGCAATCTAAAGATCTGTACATTTTATTCTACTCAGGTTTTGGTTTGTATCCTTGTCATAGTGTCAGACTTCAATCCTTGTTTCTTTCTTCTTTGATTAAAGTTGCCTCCCCCTTCTCCCCCAAATCAAGAGAAGCCGATGCAGTATATTGTCTCTTGTCTCTGTCAATTAATTAATCTGCAGGAATTTTTTTTGCAGTAGTCGTGTTATGATTCCTTGATATCTAAATCTATACCAAAGCCATTTTTCATTCTGTAGATAATAGTATGAACACTTACGCTGATTTGCCCTCGCTATCCAGCTTTACAGCGCTGACACCTTTCTTGGCGAGAAGTGACGCCACCTTCTCCACCTCGCCATGCTCCACTGCAGCAAGCAGGCGCTCGTCATTTTTGTTCCACTCATTGACCTATAAGGGATAAGGGTTTTGGGAAAAAAGGGGATAAAGGCAGAGAAAGAGGGAGAAGGAGAAAGGTGGAAAAAAGAAAATACAGGAGATTAGGTGAGATAAAATATTGATAACAAATGTAATCAATGCGGATCATTATTGTATTGTTACGTATTTCAAATCACCTGTCACTAAACAAACCCATCATAATCATCACCATCATCATGAACAGAATAACTCCCCAGGCTGTAAACAAAGACATTTTTCAGGTAATAGGATATTTATTCTATTATCACTGTGATGTATGTATACACAATTTTTAACTCTAAAAAAAAAGTATCTTGCATTAACCATTTAATAATAATGTATACATACATACTGTTGTTAGACATTAACAAACACATTGGCAAATCTTACTCTGCAGCCAACATGGCTGAGATGCCCCAAATCTGAGTAATGTTTCTCAGAGGGAGAGAATGTTTTCTTGGCTTTTCTATGGCTCACACAAACATTTGTGTCCATATGTGAGCGTGCACACACACACACACACATACACACACACAAACACACATGCACGCCATCAAATGTGGACACTTGCACACTGATATACACAAACCAAATGGCCCCACATTTGTATCGCTGACAGGCTATTCAGATAGAGAGAAGTCAGCTATTGGAAAGCTTCAAGCATGATCTCATACAGAGACTATCTTGCAACACAGCAGTCTGATGGCACAAGATACAGCACAGCAAGCTTTAAGAGCCGTCTAGCACAGTATTTACCTCTGGGCGAAAACACAGCTCTAAAAAGACATTATTAAAACACATCTGCAATAACCATATAAAGAGGACTATGGCCTCAGACTATAACAAACCAAACTCAGGAATACCAAAGCAGGAAAGAAGCAGCATGGCCATAAACATGTAGCATATCTGATCATTTCAAGGAGAAGTTATATCAAATGCTATAGGACTGATTTAAAAAAAAAAAAAAAAATCAATTCTTAAATTCTGAAGATCAATCTTTGCATTTGCACCTTTTGTTAGTAAACATGTGCATCTGTGCTAAATGTTATGTGTAGGCAAGGTTACTTGTTGTAAGTGGTTCAGTTATGGCTGCATGATGTGTAAAATTTTTACTTTGTGGAAATCAAGTTATTGTAACCTGCACAAAAAGGTTATTTTAAGTTAAAACTTAACATAGTTGATAGCTGTGCTATAAACTGTGACACAAGTAATTACCTATAAGTGGACCTGCCGCAGTTTATGGGACTGTCATGTTTCAGGATGGTTCACAGACTCTGGCTATCACGTAGCCAATCTAGAGATCACTTCTACGAGAGGGATAGATTGAAAAAAGACTGCACACTGATCTGAGCTCTCAGTTTGTGTGTTTTAGAGATATCATCTCTGGCTTCGAGACATGAAGCCGTGCAAATCGACTGAACAGTGTGCGAATTCTACTTGATTCGGTCCGTCCCTACTGGGGAGCTAACACTGATGTCAACACAAAACCATGAACTTGTGAGAAAACTTGCAGTTTCTGCTCTGTCTGTGCTCAAAGTCGTCATTATAGCGGATGTGAATTACTTAGTTAAAGCATCTGCTATTGACAGTCCATGTGTAGCTGTATGGGATAACATTTATTTTTAAAATATACATGACGTCCTTGTAAGTGGTGCATGTTTTCTGTTATTCTTGCTCAACTGTTTTGCACATGTAGACCTAAAAATAATATAGATGTTTTTGTCTTTTTGCATTTGCCAAAGAAAATAAATCCTTGGTCCACAGTTTTACAACTGGGAAATATGAGCTTAACACAGTTTTACTTTCAATGAAACAATAGCATTATTCACTTGGTGAATGTAGAGGAAATGTAAGGCCCCAGTTTAAATTCTGAGAAATGTTTTACGCAACATTGGTATTTTTGTGATGGAAACAAATTGCCAAGAATCAAATTGAAATTAATTGATTCTGGACTCTGGAAGAGGAAGATAGGTGCCAATATCTAGCCCTACCAAAGACAGATTAGAAAATATGTTTAGATACATTTTTGTTAAACGAGCAGTAGTAAATACATTTGTTTCCTGAACCTGAGCAGAGTAAGGGGGAAAATTAAACCCATGGACCCCAAACATGTTGGCAGCTCAAGTTCATTAGTCAGCTCTCCCTGCAAACACCTGTGCATATTAGGATGCAGTACAGTATTAGTTTTGACCTGATAGCCTACTGACCTACACGTGATAAGGAGCTGAGCTCTCTGACTGCATAAATACTTGCGGTGGCAAACTGTACCCTATTTTAGGAAAGTAATAAGCCAACATAGCTGTACACGGTGTAAATAACCCTTGTGGCAAACACCCAAATGCAATCACTGCATTACATTTTGCACAGCTGGTGGAAAAATGCAGGGCTATAAAAAATCCCTTCTGTCACTGAAACAGCTTGGATGACCACTGAGCTCTGCAGCCTAAGATACAGAGTCACTAATGTGGACCAGTAAGGAAATTAAAAATACTACATTGTTGGTGTTTTGCAAATTAAAGCCAAAGTCAGAATAAGTGAGAGTGGAAAAATATTCTTGCTTTTCTTGCAAGGAGTTCTGGAAAATTGATTCTTATCCAGCTGTAAACAAATGCCCATACACATGACATCCAAGACACCTCGGGATCCAGGGTTCAAAGCAGTAAAGCCAAAGATGAGACACTATCTAGGAGATGTTGTAAGATGAGAAAGTTCTCTGACAGATTGGAAATAACAGACTGGATATAAAGACACTCAGTTGCGCACTGACAGAAGCATGTGAAAAAGATATATGAATCTACAGTAATGGGCGTAACTCACAGAGTATCCAAAAATATCCACAATCAGTTCAGAGTGAATGAGATTTGCTTAAGTCAACTATTTGTCAATGATGGCACAATTCCATCATTGTTGGAGACAATGACTATACACCTATTACCCTTTTACTGAAGACTAGCATGTTCATCAGCGTACCACAGAGACTTGCATTGTGACATATTGTGTACAACTTGCACTACGTCTTTGAATGCTGTGTATGTGTTGACAAATTTGTAAACATGTTTGTGTATTATGTATTTGCAGTGTTTTTTTATATATGGTACATATGTGTCAACAGACAGATTCTTCCATTTGCTTGTTTTGTTGCAGTGAATTGTGCATGCAGGCATGCCTAACAGCAACAGACGTGGACATGCATGAGTCAGATTCATTATATGGGAAATTTTGTTCTGATTTCTATCATAGCAGTCAGTTTTATATTTTATAGAGGAGGTGGGCCACCTTGCCTGAGATGCTGACTTTTATCTAATATGAAATACAACTTGACCTTCAGGGCAAAGAGGTGAGGGCTAGTTCACACAGCAACTGGCCTATTTTTAGTGCGTGTGGCTACTGTTTAGATAACTAACTGAATTTATCATTAGACAATATGTGCTAGGACCTGGGTGGCTTACCTCTGTTGAACATTTTTTCAGGGGTAGACCCTCTGGTATGGAGCAAAACATTCTCAAAAGGTACTGTGGGGTTGGGGCGTGAGTGAAAGTGGAACAGAGAAGTCAGAGAGCGTGCATCTGTCTGTCACTATGATTAGTGTGCAGTGAAACATGACACAGTAGGAGATAGCTGAAGCTATAGAGGACATATCCCATATGGTGTGGTGGATGGGAGTGCTTGTTTTCACAGAGGTGGGCTGGATTTGCCTCCCAGTGTAATGGTATGAAAGTCTCATGATTTTCATACAGACAGTCATGTGTTGTTCAATCAGCATGAAGGGAACTTCCACCATCTCATAAGTGTATGAGAACTGAAAAGAAGAAGGAAATGGGAATATGTATATACTGTACATGTGTGCCCTGCCTCTGTTGACCAAATTTTACAAAAATCATTAAAGAGAATGTTAAACCAACTTTAAGAGTTGGTTTGTTTCCAGTATTCAGCACATTTCATTGAAACAGATGCAGTTGCTTGTTTAACCGTACTCAATTCCTCTTATCTTGTTATGTAGACATCAGGAAGGGTGGAACTTACTGCTGTAATTGAGTGCCTTTGTGATCCGGAAACAGCAGTAAAACAAACCTGCTCCTATACATGACAGACTGAATGACAGCAGGAGTCAGAACTTGCAGATGGTGAAGTGAAACTTAATATGACTTCAATCAGGTTACTACAGTTAAATTTAAGCCAAACTTGTATAGTGTGCACCTCAATAGTTCAGTAACTAATCAGGTCTCAAAAAGAAAAAAGAATAACAAACTACTTTGATGTCACATCCGATTTCTTACTGGCAATGGACACTCCTGTTGTTTGTATGTATGAATTCTTAGTGTAATAAATGCATCTGAATGTTCTCATTTCTAGTATCTAACCCTGAAAGTAAACTCAACATTGACTGTACATGTGAAGCCCTGTGATTGACTAACCACTTGTTGAGTTTATTTTCATCCAGTTCATTCTGGGATTGGCTCCAGCTTCCCTGAGGTTGCTCTGATCAAACCTTGATTTATATTCCTCTTTCTCTGTTACCTCTGTTGCAAGCACTGAATAAGCTTTCCTAAGTTTTCCACACACTAGCACGCAGCAGGACATGAATAAGATGTTACCTCATGATACTGGCCATCTATGTTCCTGGTTTGCACTCAAGCAGCAAATATTAATCTCCTGCTAGGAGATGATTTTGAGAGTTGTTCAATTGGAGCAGCATGTCACAAATGACAGACTGATATCAAAAAGGCAAAAAATACTGGTGCAATTGCATTCAGTCTAGCTACAGATGTATGTTGGGAAAATGTCTCACAAAGGGAGGATACAGGCTTTTAAATGTACCATGCAATGAAACTACTAACAAATTTTTTCTTTAAAATGTACCCACCTAGGATTTAAAGAACAAACCAGAGGAGACAGGACAGAGTTGCCATAAAAGGTGGTCAACCACACAAACCTGTCTAACCTAAAAGGGCAGCAAGAAAAGTAACCTGCCAATTAGATAGTTAGAGTGTGGT